ACAGCCTACTTTCCTTTTGTTAAAGTTATGGTTTAGTAATGACAATGTTTCACAGATGGCATCTCTTTTAATCCTTTTAATAACTTTATACTTTACTATAAGGCAACTCTTACATTTTATTATTCCTGTGTTATAGATCAGGAAACGGACACACGGTCTGCAGGCTAGCCAGGTAGTAAATCCACAGTTGGTGCTTTCGGGGACCCAGAGCTCTGCATGTGAGGTCCACTGATGCCAAATGCTAGGCTGTCAACTTGGCTGTGGACCTAATCTAATGGCTGATAGGTTAGAGGCCTTTTCTCCGCTTTGTCTTGAATAAATAAACGAATCTAAATTTTAAGAATTGAGATACGATGTGTGTTTCATGTATGTATAGCTCAGCTGCTTTTAACTAAGGGCTCCCACCCATGGAACCAACCCTGGATCAGGGATCCTAAAGCCTTCATGTTTCCCTTCATGTCACCAACAGTAACCCCCACCCTGACCTTCAGTATCACTGATGACTTTGCTGGTGTCTGAACTTGTGTAAATGCAGTCATACCATGTATAGTCTTTTGTGTTTGCACTCATTCTGAATTCAGGTTTGAGGGATATTTATAAATACTATAGTTCACCTTATCTTATAGTATTCTTTCTCATGGTTTCAGTTACCCGTGGTCAAGTGCAGTCTGAAAGTATTAAGCAGAAGTCCAGAAATAAACAGTTTACTCTGTGTGTGTGTGTGTGTGTGTGTGTGTGTTGGTCCTGGGGATTAAACCCAGAGGTGTTGTACCACTGAGCCACATCCCCAGCCCTTTTTATTTTTTAGTTTTAAAGCAGGGTATCACTAAAAGATTCTGGGCTTGAACTTGGACTCCTCCTGCCTCAGCCTCATGTGTTGCTGGGATTACGGGTGTGCACCTCTGCACCCACTATAATTCACAAGCTTTAAATTGTGTGCATTTCTGAGTAGTGTGATAAAATCTCACACTGTGCTACTCCATCCTGCCTGGAATGTGAATCATCCCCCTGTATGGTGTATCCACACTGTATATGCTACCTGCACTATAACAATTGATCTGATAACTGCCTTAGTTATCAGATCAATTGTTATAGTGCTGTAGTGCTAAGGTAACCCTTATTAGACTTACTAGAGGACCCAAGGCACAAGAGTAGCAATGCTGGCAATTCAGATATACTGAAGAAAAGCTGTGAAGTGTTTCCTCTATGTGGAAAGGCAAAAAGTAAAAAATTTTGAGAGAGATCGCATTCTCATAACTTATATTAGCATGCATTGCTATAATCATTGATTTTATTATTAATTTTATTAATCCCAATATGCCTCTTTTGAATATTAAACTTTACCATAGGTATGTATGTACAGGGGAAAAAAGCACAGTAAGTATAGAGAGAGTTCTGTGCTCTCTGGTTTCAGGCATCCTCCAGGGGTTTGGAAATATACCCGCCATGAATAAAGGGGGTTGACTTACCCCTATCTCTTTATAGATTCCCTTCCTTGATTGTTTTTACTTTTTATAATTCATCAACCAATAGAGAAGTTTCTTTTTCAGACTTCTTTAACATTTTCATAATGTGCCATTAATATGGTCTCTGAGGAGGTTCCTATTATTTTTGTAGGTGAATAAGTGATGCCTACATCTGATTCACCCCACTTCTTTTCCTTCCGCTGGATTTCTCCTTGAGACCATCAGCCCTTTGCTTTGTTCTGGTTTGTTCATTCGATGCGGCTCCCCAGCACAGCGGGTGCTGCCTGCTTCCTCAGAGGCCCCCTTGACTGATGTATTAACATCCATATGGGTTTCCCCTGGGACAGACAAATGTTCACAGCTTCTGGCAGCAGTTCGCTGCACTGTGAATCAATTTTAAATTGCCTCAGTATGATGATCGCAGACCTCCTGTGCAGTTTAAAGAAGAGGACACCTGGGAGAGAAGTGGGTGTCTTCCAAAGACCAGCATACAGATCTCCCTTCTGTACTTCGTGCATCTATTTTAATCTGGAACATTCAATTCTATAATAAGCAGGGTTCCAGTTGAAGTAAGATAAAATTTTCTTCCCCTGAAAATCTGGGATTACTGAAGGGGCATCTGATGGGAAGTTGGTGCCCACCTTAACTGATGGTGCACAGAGAGCAGGACCTACCTCCACCTATGCCATTGCTGTCATAGCAAGGGGACTTTCAGAAGAAGCTCCCTTCTCCTCCTTAGCTATATATACAACCCAGTTGTTTTATTTTGTAGAATTTCACTTGTCATTTCTTCAACATCACCTAGAAAGTTTGTCACTTTTGCACCCTGGTCATGGTGCCTGATATCTGGTCATAGAGCTAGCCACTGGACTTCACTCTACTAGAGTTATTGGGAATCCAAAATTCTTGTAGGAATAGGATTGAATAAACTAAAACCCCTGCAGTTCAGCAGTCATCTTTAAAAACAACAAAGTACGATTTGATTATAATCCCCATACTAAGTGGCATAGCTACCCATTCATCTAACTGTAATATTCATATATTGAAATGTTATGTGAACTTTGTATATTGCTAAGACAACCAAAGAATCCTGCTGGATAAAAACATGAGATTTAGCCTGACATGGTGGTGCACGCCTGTAATCCTAGCAACTCTGGAGGCTGAGGCAGAAGAATGGCGAGTTTGAGAGCAGCCTGAGTAACCTAGTGAGACCCTGTCTCAAAGTGAAAGGGCTGGATATGTAACTCAATGGCAGAGTGCTTGAGTAGTACACATGACACCCTGAGTTCAATGCACAGTACCACCCCCCCCCCCCCCGCAAAAAAAAGGATGTAATGATTCAGTGATGGGAGGGCTTTGAGGTATATTGTTTTATATGCATAATTATTTCTCAGACTATTATACATGGTTCCCATGATATGTGCTCATTTTTCAAACCAAGAGTGATATTAAATGAGTTATTGGAACCAGTTTTCCAGGAGATAACAAATATAAAAGATTGTGTTTTTTGAGGAATATTAAAGTCCATGTATGTGATATTTTGCTTTTATAAAGGGAATATAATAGCCTGCATTTTATTTCCAAGGAAAAGTATGTGAGTTTAAAGCTTAGGCAAATAGAGACTTGATATCTTATTATCAATTTTCAATTTTGTACCTGCTAATTTATAGGACAGAATTTGAGTTAGTATTAAAATGAAAATTTTAATGAGCGTAATGCATTCCACTATTGTCATGTATTTAATAAATAAATAAATAATGAAAATTTAAGCTCTGCATTAATAACTCATGATGTTTACATATGTAAAGGTGTCAATGACAAGTTCCAGAAAGGACCTAGGCCTACCCAGTGGGGTTGTGAGAAGGAGGAGATTGTACATACTCCATTTAGTGTTTATTGTTTGAACTTCTAGCTGTCCTGGTAATGCCTCAGATAAGACAAGGAAAGTTGTAATGTTCACCTGGGGTATGCAGAATTCTATCCATTGGGAGGTGGAGTGAAAACACTTCTTTTTTCTACCATCCTTTCTCCTGTTTTTGTGCATGTTTTATAATGTCCATAATATTTTTTTTTCTTGGAGCTTAAATAATAATTTGACTCTTGACATGGAAATAGAAATGTGCAACTAGGATTCAGTTCATTTGTTTGTAATGGGAGAAAAGACAACCTTGTAGCTTAAGTAATATAGAAGTTATTTCTTTCTCTTTCCTATAAAAGACACTGCCAGCAGCCCAAGGCAGGTATCAGAGCCCCATGATATAACAGGGTCTCTGCATCTTTCTGTTCTCCCTCCCTTAGCAGTTAATTTCCATCTTCAAAGAGACCTTGTGGTCCCAAAAGGCTGCAGAAACTCCAGTCATCTTGCTTGTAGTTCAGGCATTGGGAAGGAGCAAGAGAAGAGACCAGGCATACCCTCTCTTTACTTCTTTTTTCTTTTAAAAAATTGATAAACTTCGGTTTTTAGAATAGTAATTTTAGGTTCACAGCAAAATTGAGCAGAAAGCACAGAGTTCCCTTATGACCTTTTCTCATCTGTATTTCAAATGAAAAACTTAGGTAAAGTGACACCCAGCAGCTTCTGCCTACACCTCATTGGTCCTGATATGGGCACTACCTGGCCAGAGCAGAGCTGGGAAGAGCAGTCTTAGCTGGGAGCTCTGCTGCCTGAGGCTAAACGGGTTAGTGATGAAGGTAGGCAAGGGAGATTGTTAAATAGGAAACCTAAAATCTCTATCGCAAAGATTTTAGGTTTCCTATTTAATTTGCTTTTTTTTTTTTTTCTATTTTGTTTGCTTTAAAGATTTTAGGTTACCTAAAATCTTTAAAGCAAACAAAACAAAAGTCTTACTGGGAGCAGTGGCACGTGCCATGGTCTCACTGAGCCCAGCAGTTTAGAGACCAGCCTGGGTAACATAGCAAGACGCACTTTAAAAAAATTACTTAAGTAAATCTCTTGTCACAGAGTCACTTGATGTAAGAGAATCTCTTTTTGGTTATTTAGAAATAGTTTGAGCCTCAGCTTTAAATGAGTGTGTTTTAAAAGTTGTGGTTTTTTTTGTTGTTGTTCATTAGCATTGAAATACACGACTTACTATGTGTAGTTATGAGTTCTTAAGGGCTTTGTTTTAAACCCTGAAAATGATCATTTTAAATCATACTAAGAAATCATACAATTATATGAGATACATGGGAGGGGATATTTTATGCTAATTTGGAAGCACATTGTTTTATAATGTGATTTGACAGAATGCTTTATAGAATGGGTAAGCACAGTTTTTTAGTCTTAATTTTTTTTTTTTTTAAATAGAGTTCAAGAGAAGTTTCTTTTGGCACGTCCTAGATTCCAGCTATCATTTATTTTAGATGTGTTCCATCAGTAAGCTCTTCAACTCGAATTGATTTCAAAAGGGGAACCATCCCAAGGGAAGCTTTGCTCTTCATCGCCTTCCTTCTAGAGCAGAACCAGGGTCATGACTGATTCCTTCACGCTCAGTGTGTTTTCTCTCTTCTCTCCAATTCTCCCCTCTCCAAAAGTGCCTACTCCTTCCACGTCACTGCAGATGGTCAGATGCAGCCTGTGCCCTTTCCCCCCGATGCCCTCATTGGACCCGGAATCCCCCGACATGCTCGCCAGATCAACACCCTCAACCATGGGGAGGTGGTGTGTGCAGTGACCATCAGCAACCCCACGAGGCACGTGTACACAGGAGGCAAGGGCTGTGTCAAGGTCTGGGACATCAGCCACCCTGGCAACAAGAGCCCTGTCTCTCAGCTTGACTGTCTGGTGAGTGAGCAGGAACTGGTGCACAAGGGTAATTTCTCCCCCGAGACTCAATAAGGAAATCGCTGTCCAGGCCTGGGTTTTATTCCCATTAGGAGGAAATGGAAGCCCCTTCTGTTTCCTGTGTTAGCTGCATAACCCCCCACCCCTCCCTTAAAAGTGAAGGTTTCATTTGTTGCTGTTGCTGTGGTTAGAGCCCAGTGTTGATGGATTTCTTTTTTAAAATATTTTACAGTGGTTTGCAGAAAGCTGTCCTTGTGTAGCTGTGTATTATAAAGGGGGGTTTTCCAGTGAGTGCAAGAAAACACAGTGAGGCCTGGACTCTGATCCCTGCAATCCATTCCACTTTTAATTTCCCTACAGCCTTCAAATAAATATTGAATAGTAAACATTGGATAATGTGGCATGAAAGCCATTCTGAACAGGGTCTGTGTTGTTAGGGAGAGCTGGAGAGCTGGTTTGGTTTCACTACCTTAAGTTCAGGAAAGGGCTGAGGGAGACACTGCAGGGGATCAGGATGTCAGTCAAACAGGAGCAATAGGAACACTTTTACAGGGCACATAAGCCAGTATCTGAGGATGCCAGTTTGCATTTTTCTGGGACATAGACACTCCAGGACATATTCTGGTCTCTAAAGTGTAACCCTAGGATTTACAGACCTTATACCATTGCCCTTACGCACACTGTCAACTGGGCTGCCCTGCTTTGCCCATCCAGGATGATGTCACCATCTCAGATGGCTCAGTTTACCCACTCCCTGTCTGACTGGAAGAGTGTTTCCAAAAAGCCGAGTGGCAGTGTTTTTGAGATACACAGACTTGGGGTAGTTATTACTGTATTTTTTAAATCAAACAACATAAAAATATCTCCTGTGGAGGGAGGAGGAGTGGGAACATTTAGGTTAATTTCAGGGCATGAAATTGACCAAATGATGTCACATGCGTGTACGTATATATCACACTGAATTCCACTAGTATGTGTAATTATAATACACCAAGAAAATTTTTAAGACAAAGACCGCCTTTAATGAAACTTACACTTCAACATATTCTGTAGTAGTAGGAGTTATTCTCTTTTAAAGTTGGTGCTTAAAGTTTCTCTGATCTTTGAAAGATAGGCCACTTTTAAGCATACCCATTGGGATTCGAGTTGGAGGATAGCACATCCATTGAGGTTCTAGAGGTGGGTCATATTAGGCCCTTTTTTATACATGTTGGGTTGATGGCATGATGTTCTTGGACTGATTTCCTGGGCTTTTGGATTGAGGGGCTCACACATGGATAAACGCTATGTTACAATTAGAGAAGCAGCTGTTACATTTTTAAGATCCTCTGACTAAGAAAGATATAGTTAACAATAATGGAAACCAGAACATGCACAGTGGGTCTGCATTTTTTTCCAAACAGAGGGGAAGAGGTAAATGATTGATTGACCAGATTCAAAAGTGGTGTCTAGGTGTAGCAGTGCATGCAGACCTGCCTTACCACCTGGTTACTTTCAGGGCTTTCTGAGGCAGGGAGTCAGGAAAAGTGATCTGACATCACACATGACTGAGCAAGCCTATGAGTTAGTTTGGAAGGGGACAGTGGCAGTTGGGCCCTTATATTTACTATAGAAATAGGAGTCTGTGAAATGCCACTCTGAAGTCAAAACCCATGATAGCAGTTAGTGAACGCGGCACTGTTATTGCTTGGTAATGCATCATAGCAATTGAATTATGTTTATTTCACAGAATAGAGATAATTATATCCGTTCGTGTAAATTGCTCCCTGATGGCTGCACTCTCATTGTGGGAGGGGAAGCCAGCACTCTTTCCATTTGGGACCTGGCTGCTCCAACCCCTCGCATCAAGGCAGAGTTGACATCCTCGGCCCCTGCCTGCTATGCCCTGGCCATCAGCCCTGACTCCAAGGTCTGCTTCTCATGCTGCAGTGATGGCAACATCGCCGTGTGGGACCTACACAACCAGACACTTGTGAGGTGAGCACCAGCGGTTTACTCAGAGAGGAGTGGATGGCCTCAGGAGAAGACCCCTCTGCGCCTCTGCTTCTCTGGCTGCCCCCAGGCAGCAGTCCATCTGTGAAGAGCCTACTGTGTGCCAGGTGTGGAGCTAGGTGCTCCGGGGAACTTTTGGTCCTGGTGCTGTGCCGGACGGTGACCAGGACTTCATCCTTTTCTTGTTCCTATTCTTCAGTGTGCATATAGAAGCCAAGTTTAGCTTTTGCCAAGGGGTGGCATAGCATAACATGAATTACATGGAAGCATGAAGGGCTCTCAATTCTAGATGTTTTTGGCCTTGTCTAGAACCTTGTTTATGCAAACAGAAGTCAACTGATAAGATAACCAAAAAAAAAAAAGTCAACAAAAGGACATCAGAAAGGAAAAAAGGAGAGTCCATGAATTGAATCCACAAAATGGTTTTAAAATATCCATGTTTCTCAATAAGTAAATAAAAGACTCATTTAGGGGTCGTTCCACTCAGGAGTGAACAGGGCTCTGCTTGCTTCCTGGAATCTGCCCTCCTCACCCTGGCAACTGCTGTGGCTCGGCTACCCTGGCTGGTGCTCACACAGAAGCATTACGGGAAAGTCTTCTAAAAGTAAAGCACTAACAAAACATCAATGGTAGAAGTCCGGGTGTGCTTGGCTTTTTGCCACATTTTATCTGTGCTCAGAAACCATCTTGTTCATGCTGTGGTTTGAGGCCTGTGGCTCATTAGGCTGGCCCCCTCTAATGCTTTTGGTTGTGTGTGTGCACAGAAAAGGGATGACCCAGAGACATCATCGAAGCAGCGCACTCTTTCTTTAAACCTTCTTGTAGAAACCCAGTGTCACCAAGCCCAGCTCTGTCTCTGCATGCGAATGACATTTGTGACATAGTGCAGAGTGAGCAAAATGGACTTGTGGAGCTGGAGCCCAAAGTCCCTTTTAGCCTAGCTACAGTTACTTGGTTTAATTTTTTTTTTTCCTTCCTCCTTTTCTCCCTCCCTCCCAAATTCAAATTGTAAGCACTTTTCAGATATTAGCCCATTTAGTTCTTATAACATCTGCACTGCTATTCTCCACATTTTGTAGATGAAAAACCTGACGTACAGAGTTATTTGCCATGGGTCACACAGTCAGATACGGAAGAGCTGAAATTGGAGCCCAGACATCCTGCTCTCCTGTCTGTGCCCAGAACCCCTGCTCTGTGCTGGCTCTCTTGAAGTCAGTGCCTATTAGATGTAAGAGGGTAGGGCTCGACACATCTCTTTCTCAATTTGGACTGACTGCATGTGACTGCTGTGTGTGACAGGGCAATGAAGAATCTTTGTGCGCCTGTGACCCTGCACATTCTGCCTTCTGGTCTGGTAGCTTGGGAGTAATGTGGAGATATTCTCTTGGAGGGTGGTAGGATGGAGGAACATCCATTGGGAGCTGTGAGTTGATAGAGAGTGATATTTAGGGTGAAGGATTAAACATTTGCTGATTTGAAGAGATGAAAAGAAGTCAGACTGGAGGGAAGAGGGAATCCCTGAATTGCCAAAACAATTTGAAGGAAAGAAACACAGGCAAGGCAGTGCCTGGGGGACTTGTAGGGGGGACTTGGAGGAGTACTGGCCTGGTTGGGATGCTGTGCCTGGCTACAGTGGGGGAAAGATTTGGGGCATGTGGGAAAAGAGGTCCTGGGACAATTGTAGATATTCAGAATAGCTTATAGAGGGTAAATTTTTTGAAATAATGGTTCTCGTCTTGGCTCAGGGCAACAGTGGTAATTTTTCCTTCCCTTATACTCTTTCAAATTCCAAGCTCGTCTTAAAAGTTTGGAGCTCTGAGTGGGTGCAGTAGCATACACCTGTAATCCCAGCAATTTGAGAGGCGGAGGCAAGAAGATTGCAAGTTCAAGGTCAGCCACAGCTACTTAGTGAGGCCCTGTCTCAAAATAAAAAGGACTGGGGATGTAGCTCACTGGTAGAATGCTCCTGGATTCAATTCTCAGTACCCCCCCTACCCCCGCCCCCCCCCCCCAAAAAAAAAAAAGAATTTGGAGCTCGGTGGGAATAATTAGGGTTGCATTCTAGAGGAAGAAAAGGCATGGAAACCTTCTTCTGAATGTCAGAATTCCCAAGCACTTCTTTGCCAGGTCTTGCCAGGTTCTGAAGGTGGATCCTGATCTGTCCTGGCCACTTCTGCCAACTCCCTCTCAGCATACAGAACCAAGTCCCTGATAGTCACCATCATGGACCACCAGCCTTGGTGACCTCCCCATAGCAGGTCCCACCTGTTGCCTTGTATGCCACTTGAGCTCAGCAAATCCCTGTCCTAGTTGGTTTTGGTGGTGCTTTTTGAATGCTGTATGAGATTTTCCTGTCATGAAAAACCTTGTGCTCAGCTTGAAGACAAGGTCTTGCCAAAGTGTCCACCAATCTGCCTCCGTAATTATTTTGGTCTCTGCCCTGTGCCTCTGAGGTCAGGAGGCCAGCGTGACCCTTTGTCTCGGGGAGTCCAGATTTCCTAACACAGGGCTCTTTTTAATTCAGAAAGCAAGGTTGAGCAAACAGGTGATCTCATGATTTGCTGGGAGGAAGGGCATTGCCATGTTGATTTGCTCATTGAATGAGAATACTTCTGTCCCAGTGCTTACAAGGTAGCCACTTTCCTGGATTCAAGTTTCACCACTGAAGTACAGTACCTTAATCTTTCCTTAAGGCATACACTTGAGATTTTGTGTGTTTGTCCTTTGTTTCTTTTAACACTTAAACACTTTCCAGAGCTGGGAGGAGTTTTCTCTTCTAGACAGATTTCATCAAAGAAGCCATAGTAGCATATTTGACTTCTGGGTAGCAACCTCCAATGGCAGTGCATTTGTTTAGCCCTTGGATTGTGAAAAAAGAAAATAAAATCTGCAGGTGCTGTTTCCTTTCCTCCTCGGGGGAAGGTTAGTTTGATCTTACAAATCAGCAGACACTGACGAGATGACATACAGAGAGTCCAAAACTAACAACACAACAGTGTTTACCTTGAGCTCTGGCAGGAAATCATTATTCAATCTGGTTTGTTTTATCAGGCAATTTCAGGGCCACACAGACGGAGCCAGCTGTATTGATATATCTAATGATGGCACCAAGCTCTGGACGGGCGGTTTGGACAACACAGTCAGGTCCTGGGACCTGCGCGAGGGGCGGCAGCTGCAGCAGCATGACTTCACCTCACAGGTACTGAATGGCTTTCGCTTGCCCTGGAATCTCTGAGGTGGCCTGTGTGGGACATCCTTCCCACCCCAGGATGATGGCAGTAGGACAAACAGATCGGGGTTAAATCTGAGAGAACTGATTCAAAGAAACAAACCAAAACCCCCTGAAACTCCTCAAGTGGCTTCTAAAATCCTGTGGGTTAAAATATGTTAACTGCTTTATTTCCAGATGTGTTTGTTTAGGGAATTCATACAGTGAAGACTATATCCAGCTCTGCTGGTGTGTGGTACCTATTCTTACCATCTAATGTGGAGTGAGAGATGATTATTTGATTCTCATTTAAATAGAGCTTGAAGAATATTCAGGGTAGGGAAAGTCACAACAGCTCTGAAAGTTCATTCATTTGCCCTGAATCAAGGAGCCTTAAAAAGTGTAGTAGGCCAGGCACAGTGGCAGATGCCTGTAATTCCGGCAACTCAGGAACCTGAGGAAGGAGAATCTCAAGTTCAAGGCCAGCTGGCAACTTAGTAAAACCTTGTCCTCGAATAAAAAAGGCTGGAGATGTAGCTGAGTGGTTAAGTGCCCATTGGTTCAATACCCAGTACTTTAAAAAAAAAAAAAATGCAGCATTATCTCAGTGGATGCCCATCTTATTACTTATCCTATGAAAAATGGACTCATGGCCAGCTAGATTATTATAGAGTTTTGAAATAATATAAAAATGGCAACTTTGTGGATTGTGGAAAGTAGTTTTTTGAGTGTCTGGCTCTAGAATTGTTTTGGGTTAAGAGTGTGCTTGCCATTTTAAGTGCTTTCTGCTGGTAGAATTGTTCTTTTGATCATTACTTGGCACTTTCAGACCCTTTTTTGGCATTAAAATAATGCAGCCCAGAAAAATAGGACTCCTAACACATTTTATGTTTCTATTAGCATTTGGTTGATTTTTTTTTTTTTTTCATAATCTTCCCTGTGGTACCCTTTCCTTATATCCTAATAAGTAGGATATTATTTTTGGCTTCTCTTTTTTTAAAAAAAAATTATGGAAATTTTCAAATTTATACAAATATAGAAAGTGTTCAAATGTATCTGAAAATACAGAGTACTGTTTGTAGATGCTTATCCTTCAGCTTTGGTGGTTATCAGTTCATGGCCAGTCTTGTCTCTCTGTCATCCTCACCCCAAGCACAGTAAATTCTAGATGTCATTTTATCCCTGAGTATTTTCATCAGTGACTCTAAAAAGATAGGGATGGCTTTAAAACACACAAACAGATGCCACTATTATTAAGAATAATTCCTTAATTTCATCACGTATGAGGGAAGTGTTCAAAGTTTTCCAGCTGTTCCATGAAGGTTTTTGACACTTGGTTCGTCTGGGCTGGGTCTCTTGTCCTTGTCCACTTTCCCACAGTCTGGATTTGGCTTATCCCCTCTGTCCATACTCCTGCTCCCCCCACCCGCCTTTCTGGTTGCCTTTTCACTTCCTAAGTTTATTGAGCAAAATAATCAGTGACCCTGTTCTGCTTCTTACAGATCTTCTCCCTGGGATACTGCCCAACTGGGGAGTGGCTAGCTGTGGGCATGGAGAGCAGCAACGTGGAAGTGCTGCATGTGAACAAGCCTGACAAGTACCAGCTGCATCTCCACGAGAGCTGTGTGCTGTCCCTCAAATTTGCTTATTGTGGTGAGTTCCACTGAAAGGAAACTGGAGGTCATTGATGGCCTAAATGGAAAATACTTCTAAAAAAAATCTGGTTAGAGATCCTATCTGGAAAAAATGTTGTTCTCCGAGCAGCTGGATGCAATAATTCTATTGTTTTAATATGTTCCTCCAAGCATGGTAATGTCTGTTTCAGTCTGTTTTGCTAATTTGAGAAAAGTCAGCAGGAGATAAAATTGCCTAATACAAGGTTTGGACACATACTTGTTTTGAGTGGGGGTGTGGGTCAATTGTTACCACTCTGCAGAAGAAGGGCAGGCAGGAATCTTTAGAAGAATCGGGCAGGAACAGTGGAAGTCATTGTGAACTGGCCAAGATGAGGAACCCAGGGTTAAAAAGGGGGGGGGGGGGTTAGCTATACCTTTATTCTTCCATGTTACAGCAAGGAGAAAAGTTCATGTGAAGACTGTACTTGTGCTCTGGGTGGATAGGTGAAAGGATAAAGGGATTAGTTAGCTGACATTCATTGAGCACAATCTATACGCTGTATAACATGACTGGCATTTTGCAAAAGTTCAACATTTGGGGCTGGGTGTTAGGCAGTATTGGGAGTTGAACCCAGGGTCTCATGACTGCTGAGACTCATACCCAGATCTGTTTTTTTTTTTTTTTTTTGAAAGAGAGAGAGAGAGAGAATTTTAATATTTATTTTTTAGTTTTTGGCAGACACAACATCTTTGTTTGTATGTGGTGCTGAGGATCGAACCCGGACCGCACGCATGCCAAGCAAGCGCGATACCGCTTGTGCCACATCCCCAGCCCCCAGATCTGTTTTATTTTAAAATTTGAGACAGGGTTTTGCTGAGTTGCTTGGGGCCTTATTGAGTGGTTGAGGCTGGTCTTGAATTTGCAATCTCCTGCCTCGGCCTTCCAGGTCACTAGGATTACAGAAGTGTGCCACTGTGCCCTATTAAATTCAATATTTAATTCTTTGCAATCCCATTTAGTCATGAGGAGACTGTCCAAAGTGAAACAACTTCACTGATTTCAATATTTGAGGGGCTACTATGTGTTGAATATGGTCGTACAAGTCGTGTCCAGTGACTAATGAGGTTGTCACCCTCTTCTACTGGGATCATACAGATAATTTACTGGGGAGCCCACATTTAAAACCTCTACTCAGGTCATAGACCAATTCTTTTGATATGATTATTCATGCAATAGCAGTGCTCTGTTTGATTAAGTTCAAGGTGCCAACACTATTATAGGAATTTTAATTTTGTTTAAAACTTTGTATTTTTTGTTAATTCTAGGTAAGTGGTTTGTGAGTACTGGAAAAGATAACCTCCTCAATGCTTGGCGAACCCCGTATGGAGCCAGTATATTCCAGGTATGTAAAAACTCCTTACCTAGTAGAATGGTAATTCGACAACAGCGTCACCTGTGAAACCAGAAGTGAAGGAACCATGGAGGGAGCAGGGCCCCTTTGTACCCAGGTTCCACATTAAACACTTGCCCATTGTTTTCTCTTCCAGTCCAAAGAGTCCTCGTCAGTGCTCAGCTGTGACATCTCTGTGGATGATAAATACATAGTCACTGGCTCAGGGGATAAGAAGGCCACAGTCTATGAAGTCATCTACTGAAAACATGGAATTTAACGTTTATAGTTGAATTGGGCCAAAATGTTTTGAATTTGTAGAAATAGAAAAGTTGTAACTTTAAAAGAAAACACACACACACACACAGACCTGTTTCCAAACCTTGACACAAAACTACTTTGAGTCTACAAAGAGGAGGCAACGACTCCGTCAACAGAAGGTCGCCTACCTAGACCAAATGGAGCACCGCGACCACCTGGACAGAGGAGCCAAGGGGCGTAGGACTGAGGAACGGAATCTGCCAACCTGAGCTGCAGCCGGTTCTCGTCTCGCTGGAGGATCTGTCGCCCACACCTGGCCTGAGTGAGATTTCCTTCCTGTCCTTGCACTTCACCTTGCGTTCCGTCCTTTGTAGAGCAGTGGTGTCTCCAATGAACTTGTTTCCTGGTTTTGCATCTTGTGAAATGTTTTTTTTGTATTTTTGTTGAAGGTTAAACATTTGTATAAATTGTAAATATATTTGGTTTAATACAGTAAAGCCTTTAGTACCAATAAGTGGTTCTCCTTCTCCTTCTTTACTGTTGTTAATCAAAGCTTTGGGATCATCCACGTGGGTTTGGTAAGTAGAGTCCATACATTTGTAGAAGAAGTTTGAAAATGTGTTTCTTTCTTCGTGCGTGTGGTTGTGGACTCCTGCTCGTGAAAACAGAACCCATCAAACGCTTCTGACTTTCTGGAAACTCAAGAGTAAGAATCGCGAGCAACTGAAGGTATATTAATGGCAGTTTAATTTAGGAAACTACAGTTACTTATTCTTCAAGAGTCTTTTTTGTTTGTTGTTATGAAACTCTTCTGCTTCAAGGTCACAAATTAAGGTCTACTTTTTCCTGGTGATTCATTGGATGGCAGAATATCTCTTTTCTCTGGAAAGTTCCATCTTTTCAAATCTATATGTCTTCATAAGCTTCACATTTCAAAAAATGTTAGGTGACTTGGGTTTTATATTATAATTTATGCTGCTCAGAGAGCTCCAGAGTTCATGTCCCCATAAGAGAAAGGTGGAAAGCTGACCTGCTTCAACTTCATTAATACTTATTTAATCTATTATATAATTTACTTAATCCAGCCATATCTAGCACTCAGCCCCACTCTCTCATTAAGGCTATCCCTGCATTTCCAGCCATTGCAATCTGTCATTATTCTTTGGTCTTTATCTTTGTGAACAAGGTTTTACTAATTTGATTAGATGAAATCTGTAACCCTAGGCTTTTAATAAGTTGCCAAGCATGTTTCCCCCTGGAAAGGCTACATGACTTATTCTTCATGTACCTGTTATTTACTGTTGTATTTTAGAAAAGAATGGCTAATAATTTTAAGCCAATTTTCCTAGCTATTTAAAAATAGCACCTAAGGAATTTTTAATGTTCTTATTTTCTTATGATGCAGCAAGTTGTTGGCAGTGTGTCTTAATATTTTTCGTTTGTCATTAAGGCCTTTTTTATATTTAAAAATGTTACTTTGTTTGCTTTTTGCCAAAAGAAATATTTATGTACAAAGTGTATTAAATATTTTCACTTTTCACTAAGTGAATGGCAAACCCCTAATTACTAAAGCTGATTTCTCTCTCACCCCTTCCTTGTAAGATGAAGTAGATTTTTATGCTCCAGATTTGGGTGGCTTATTAATGTAGCATTGACTTTTTCTGTTCTCTCTTCCACCTGCCTTCTGGTTTTCTCTAATTGTAAGTTAAAGTTTCAGTTGCCGTGACAGAGGGCTAACAAACTCTAAATGACTAAAGGCCACAAGGGTTTGTTTCTCTCCCATCTAAAACCCAGGGGCTCAAGGCAACAATGTGTGTAATTGCAGCAGTGGAGACGAAACAGATGTCTAGGGAAAGGATTTATTTCATTGCTTCCATTTGCCAGTCCACTGGCAGAGATAAGTCCCAGGGCAGATTGACAAAAGGTAGACTGGGAAGTGTTGGTTCCTTGTTGTGTAACCACAGCCCGCTGAGAAGGGGAGGCACATTGAAAACGTTTCCTGGTAAAGAAATGGTCTTGTTTTTGTTGGGGGTGGGGGGTGGGGGCATTCTTTATCTTCCTTCATGCTTTATATACAGTTTTCTAGCCTCAGGTATTCTTTTTCTAATAGGGTTTTTCTGAGAATCTTAATTCATACAATTTTTTTTTTTTTTTTTTTTTTGGTACTGAGGATTGAACCCAGGGGTTCATGAACTGCATCGCTGCACCTTTTTATTATTTATTTTGAGACAAGGTCTCACTGAGTTGCTCATGTTGACCTCAAACTCGATCCTCCTGTCTCAGCCTCCTGAGTTGCTGTAATTACAGGCATACGCTACTGTGCCTGACTTCATAGATTGTCTTCAATCTAATGGAACCAATTCCATTTGACTTTGGATGGGAGACTGGCTTGATGGCAGGAGTCTTGTATGAGGTATTCTAATGCAAGCTAGGCCCATTGTTCATGGAATTTAGAATCTTGGAAAATGGGCCAGACGCTTGTTTCTTAGTGAAAATGATTAAAAAAAAAAAAATTGTGCCTGCTTTTCAGGGTCTTGGGGGTCAGAAGTGGGCATGTGAGCAGGAACATGAGTGGTGGTTGTCTTGCTATTGGAGGGCACGAGTGGGAAGATTTTTTTCCTGAGCTGTGGCGTGAGCAGTTGCCTCTCCTCTCCCTCAGAAGGTTGGGATCATGTGATTTTTGAGAACCCATGTGCCAGATGTTCCCCTTGGTCTTGAACATGGAGTACAAAGTAGGAGTCAGCAATTCTGAGTCAGTGGGACACTGGTCATTCTGTGTGTCAAGGACTATGCTGCTAGGCAGTTTTACATATAAAAATCTCAGGAAATGGTATCATTGTCCCTAAAAACTAACCAAATCTCAGGGAAACAATGTCCCCATGGGCTCAAAGGACATAGAATTAAGTTCTGGTTTTACTATGGGCTCTGTGTTCTTTTACATCTTAAGAGTGATGTGTGTGTGTATGTTTTCCCCTAACTCTCCCAAGTTTCCTCTTCATTTAATTTAAATATTTACAGTGTGCACAGTTCTCTTACATACCATGCAATGTAATATTGTAGGTATATCAATAAGTTTGTTTTCACTGATTTATGTAAATATTTTCCTCAATATTTTTATCAGCAAATTATATATCTTGATTTTTTTTAACCTCTCTCAGTCTTTACACCTTGTTTGTTGGTTTCTACCACATAGCTCTTCTATGAAACTGAGCAAAAAAAAAAAAAAACTAGTAAGATTGGTTTGCTAACACTTTCTTTATAGCTAGTTATTTCCTGTATTTCATAGGACAAAAACTATTATCAGCATGATAATTAGCATTAAGTTCCTGTACAAAGTGATATGGGAGGTATTTTGTGGTTAAGAGATGGTATTTTTGATGTTTAACTCTTTTAAGATGGCATGACTGGTAAGCAGCAGCTGTTTCAAAACTGAAGACTATTCAAACAGGTATATGAATAATTGCCGTTTCATTTATATGGTATGACTTTCCCAGAGCTTTCCAACAGACCACAGAGAGGCATTGGAGCCTTAACTGTACATGGTTTCATTCCACCAAGAGACTGCTGCTTCTATCATGATGAGAAGTTAATTAAGTGGTGCTCTTTTAAACTCTGCTCTGCCAGGGCTGGTGGTTCCGTCCTGGGATCCCAGCAATTTAGGAGGCTAAGGCAGGAGGATCTCAAGTTAAGGATACCCTCAGCAATTTCGTGGGATTCTGTCTCAAAATAAAAAGGGCTGTGGGTGTAGCTCAGTTGTAGAGTGCACACTGGTTTCAGTCGCCAGGCCTCCTGCCCCGCAAACACCCTCTGCCCCCCAAAAAACAACCCCAAAACAACACACATTCCATTCTGCTATGGGCCCATGGGTTGGTGACTTCTTGATATCTAATCAAATTGTCCAATTAATTAGGGAAGAGCAAGATGAAACTTTGTATAAGGTTCTTTTTCTTCCCCAGGGAACTTTATCCAGATAGCCAAAACTTTTTTGCCTACATGTTTTTATTCTAGTGCTTAATAAACAGCTAGATGTTTTGTTCTTAATTGGTTCGCATTTCTAGGGAAGTTGTCTACCTGAGTCTGATCAGAAGGAGTACTCCAAAATTAGATTTCTCAGATTCTAGTCAGGGCATTGCCAGAACAAATTCTCAGGTTGTCCTGAGGCAGCTGGTTTGGAGACTACACTGGAGAACTGCTGATCTCGAGCAAGTATATGTACAGTATATCTTGTCAACTTAATAATAATAACAGCGTGCATTTGTATTCTAAGATGTGGAGCCCTCCTATGCTTTAGGCCTTGTATCCAAGAATTAGAACGCAAGGTTAACTCTACTGAAGTTTTGTTTGACATCTGTTCTGATAGTCTCTTCTGAAAACTTATGATGCAGAACATTATGATAGGTCCAGGCTGTAACTGAATTATTAAAAAGGTGCTTCTCCGCTTACACATAACTGAAAGGAATATGAATCTTTAAATATAGGGGAGGCCTCAAGAATGTACACAGTGTTTTACTGGGGTGGTGATGCATAGTTAGAAGTTATTCTTTGAAAATTAGAACACTTACTACATGTAAAACACCAAAGCTTTTTAGAGTGTTTTCATTCTTTGAATGATCACATTAAATTCCCTCAAAAATCCAAAGTTTATTGAGAATGCAACTTCAATAAGTTGGCCTCTGGGCAGGTGACTAATGTGGAATTTTTCCAGTGAGAGAAAATAGGGAAGAAATTACCAATAATAAAGGAAGGGGTGTGAGCACCCAACAATGCCATCCCAGCAAGTGTTTGGGATAACTCTTGTGCGTCATCGAGGCAATGTGCCAAATAATTCCGTATATTCTCACATGTAATTACATTTAAATACTAGGTATCCCTGTGTACTAAGAAAAATACTTGTTTTTATTGATGCTTTAAAAAAAATCACAAACATGTTATTTATCTGATTTTTCCATTTGGAAAATACAACATGATGCAATGAAGAAAGTAAAAACATTGTTCCATCCAGAAACTATTGTTTTTTTTTTTTTTTTTTTTTTTTTTTTTTTTTTTTTTTATGCAAGCTATGTCAGATATCAAAGTTATTACCATTGCTAACATACGGTGAGTGTTTACTACATGCCAAAGGATCATTAAGCAATTTATGTTCTCTCAACTGATTTTCACAAAAGCCTAATGAAGATAGTTAACTGGGTTCAGATCATTTAACAGATAAGGAAACTGAGGCACACAAAGCATAAATAACTAGCTTACGGTCACACAGCCAGTGTAGAGTAAGATTTTAACCCAGATAGTCACACTCAAGTCTCTCATTTTGGTGTTTTACTTTTTTGGTAGTGCTGGGGATGGAACACAAGGCCTTATAGACGAGGCAAACACTACCACTGTGCTACATCCCTCAGTTTCTTTTTCTTTTTTTTTTCACAATTTTTAAAATTGGGTATACAATTATTTGCTTATTTTTCACTTGTTAGGTTAGCTATATAGACTGTTTTGAACACTGAGATATTATAGTCCTTA